GCTACCTGAGTCCCCAAGGGCACAAGGACCCTGTGCTTCTCCCACCCCAGGGTACTCTAGCACCATTCAGTGGCACTTCCTTCTTTTTTTAATGTATCCTACACCCTCTTTTGGCCTCCAGGAGTACTGCATGCATGTGGTGCACAGACATGCATATAGGCAGAACACTCATACATTATATAAAAATAAAATCTTGCTGAGCAGTGGTGGTACACACCTTTAAAGTACTTGGAAGGCAGAGGCAGGCTGATCTCTGTGAATTCAAGGCCAGCCTGTTCTACACAGAAAGTTCCAGGACAACCAGAGCTACACAGAGCAACCCTGTCTCAAAAACCAAAAAATAAACAAACAAATAAGTAATAAAAAAAGAGCAGTAGGAGCCCATTTAGGGAGGCCGAAAGAGACCCTACATAATTAGTATTAGGCACTTTTTTATCCATGGTTATGAGTGCCAGAAAAATACTCTGGAGTTATTTATTTTGTCTGCTTTTTGAAACAGGGTCTCTCTATATAGCCCCAGCAGTCCTGGAACTCACCAGGTAGACCAGGCTGGCCTTGAACTCACAGAGATCCTCCCGCATCTGCCTCCTGAGAGCTGGAATTAAAAGTGTGCACTACCATGTCTGGTTGGGATTGTTGTTTTTGTTATTTAAAACAGGATTTCTCTGTGTAGGCCTGGCTATCCTGGAACTTACTTTACTATGGTCTCAAACTCGGAGAGCCACTTGCCTCTGCCTCCTGAGTGCTGGGATTAAAGGCATGCGTCACCACCAAGCAGCCATGGTTGGGATTATTTCTAAAGCCCAAGAGGATGCTGTTTTCCCCCTGAAGCCCCAACTGAGTCTGTCTGCCATAAGTCAGGCCACCCAAAGACACCATAAGACATGACAGGGAAACTTACTTTTCTGGAGCTGCAGAAGCCACATCCCGGTCATACAGTCTGGCCTGCCAGGGAAACAGGACAACCCCTCGGTAGCCAAAAACACTATGAAGGAACAGCTGGAAGGAAAAAGAGAGCTCACTGAGCCTGTAGTCCAGCAAATCCATCCAGGTGGGACCTAACCATGAAGTAGTATGGGTGCAGGCAACTGTAGCACAATCTTGCCAGCTTTCCCCACAAACTCTGCACTTAACCTAAACTGCAATATGCTCATGCCTCATCACTGGGTGACCCCACTCACCTTTGGCCTTTAGGGAACTTTCCTTGACCCTCCTCTTAGTCCAGTATATAGTCACTGGCTCTATTTCTTTGTCTTTTTTAAAGAATTATTTTATGCCGGGCGGTGGTGGCGCACACCTTTAATCCCAGCACTCAGGAGGCAGAGGCAAGCGGATCTCTGAGTTCGAGACCAGCCTGGTCTACAAGAGCTAGTTCCAGGACAGGCTCTAAAGCCACAGAGAAACCCTGTCTCAAAAAACCAAAANCTCTAAAGCCACAGAGAAACCCTGTCTCAAAAAACCAAAAAAAAAAAAAAAAAAAAAAAAAGATTTATTTTACTTTTAATTGTGTGTATATATCAGTATGTGGGTACGTGCATGTGAGTGCAGGGACCCAAGGAAGTCAGACATTGAATCCCCTGGAGCAGGAACTGTAGGCAGGTCCTCTGGAAAAACAGCAAGCACTCTTACCCACTAGACTATCTCTCCAGCCCCTACTGACCATATCTCTGTCACTGTCCTGGAGCTGTGAACTCCAGGACAGAAAGAACACTAAAGCTTAACACCTGGTCAGTTTTAGGCATACAGATAAATAAATAGCTTCCATTACTTACAATGGCCTTTTGCTTCAGAGGGTTTTGAATTTTTGTATGCCAGTCTGGCCTCAATCTTGCTAGGTAGCTAAGAATGACCTCAAAGTCCTGATCCTCCCACCTCCGCATCCCAAGTGTCAGGCTCACAGGAGCAGGCCACCACATTCAGTCTGTGCTGTAGGAGAATGGAAACCAAGGCTTCAAGCCAGCCAGGCACTCTAAACTAAACAACATCCCTAGCCTGATTTGTATTTTATTTTTAATATTTTTTTATTTATGCATTGATGTTTTGCCTCATGTATATCTGTATGAGAGTGTCAGATACCCTGGAATTGGTATTATAGGCAGTGGTAAGCTGCCATGTGGATGCCGGGAATTGAACCCAGGTCCTCTGGAAAAACATCCAGTGCTTTTAACTGCTGGGCCATCTCTCCAGGCCTTGAGCCATCTCTCCAGGCCCCTGATTATATTTTTAACAAGGAACCTTTTAAATAAGAGTTGTTATTATTACTTTGGGAAGGTGTAAATGTACAAGTGCCATGGTGTGTGGAATGACTTTGTGGAATCAGTTCTCTCCGCCACTTTCACTTCCAGGCTTCCTCAGCAAGTGCCTTTACCACTGCGCCATATCACTGGACTCTTGCTGACCTCAAAATTGAAGCATTCTTTCTGCCCTGCTTCTGGAGCAATGGGATGAGATGCTACTGTGCACCTATCTCCAGACACCTCCTCTTTAAAAAGCTTGTGATTCTAATGCACACAAGGTGTGCACATGCACCAACACCCAGGCACACTAAATAAACAAACGTGAAAGATCTTTGGGTCAGTTCACTGGGTAAAGACAACTGCCACCAAACCTAATGACCTGAGTCTGATCAGAGCCCCAAATGGTGGGAGGAAAGAACCACTCTCCACAAGCTGTCCTTGGATCTCCAGGCATGGGCGCGTGCTCGCTCTCTCTCACGCACATTAAGTCAACGTAAAAACTTTTTTTAAATTTGTGATTCTGAGCTGAGCATGGTTTCATACATCTATAACCCTAGAATTCTGTAAATTAAGGAAATAAGATTACAAGTTCAAGGTCAGCCAGGATTAGAGAATGAATTCCAGGCTAAACAAAACTATATAGAAGACCCTGCCTCAAAACAAAACCAAGACTTATGAACTTGGTCTACCACCAAACATGAAGACGGATAGAAGCTTGAGGGTTCAGCTCAGCGATACAGCATCTGTCTCTAGCACTATGGGGAAGGAGATGTGGAATGAGAAGAAAAAAATAGCACTGAAATTCAGTACTGTGGCCAAATATGGCTCCATTTAGAAACAGAATAGTCCATGAAAACGAGAGCTGACCCAGCACATACCTACCTGCCCAGTCTCATATTTTCCGTTCTGTTTTGGCACCTCAAACACACCAACTGTCTCCAACACCTTGCCCTCTGCACGGTTTCTGGTTGGTAAGGAAAAGAATAAGCAAATGAAATGCTAAGAAGGTAACAGTTCTTCCTCATCAGGAGAAACAAAACAAACAAATAAAAAACCCTCGCATACTAAGGAGCCGGCGTTCGGCGTTTGGAGGGGCCAGGGCAATGATAGCAGAGAAGGCCAAGAATGCTGCCTTTCCTCCTCTAAGACTCAGCCATAGGCCTCTACTTGGTGAAGACTTCCTAGTCTCCCAGTGTCAGATCTAACTACTCCAAATTTACTTTCTGTCTTCACTTAGCATGCCCAAGGTCATGCCTGCACACCCTGTTTAAATGTACATCTTCACCCACCCCACCCCACCTCCCACAGCATTTTAACTGTCCTTCCAGTTCTGCACTTCAGTCACTGGTGTCTTCGCCTTGAGTCCATGGGAGACTATTTGTTCCGAGAGCAAAGCCTGGAGCGTAAGAAGTGCTCACAAAGGCGGTTGTTCTGAGGCAAACAGTTCTCTTTCTGCTCTTACCCAGTCCTCCTTGCAGTGCACTCAATAAACCTGTCATTCGCTACTCTGAAAAACTGTTCTGAACGAATATGGTTCCCCACGTCTGTAATCTCAGGGCTCTTGAGGCTGAGGCTGGAGGATCACAAGTTCTGGGCCAATCTGGGTACACAGCATGACTGTCCCAATTCTACACATCCATCTACCCTCTAAACTGTAACCATCTTTCCGCTGACCTCAGGACTTAACATCTCTAGATTGCCCAAGGTACAGCATACAGCACACTTACTACTGCAGTCTCTCGACATAGTGCCCCTCCCCCCAGAATTATTTAAGTCTTAAATATAGCAAATACCTCCCTCAGCCACTATCGGGTTAGTTCCATCTTTTTAAATAGGACTAATTTTTCTGTGGGCCCATCAAAGCACTGTGATTTTATTTTGGAAATGTTGACTTCATACCCAACTCCATCTGTCCTGCCTGGTCCCTAAAAGGCTTTGTTTACACCTTTCCCAAGCCTCGAATCCTCTTTCCCAAGTCACGGGTGGGCAAAATCAAGTTTCCCCAAGGTCACACGGAAACCTAGGTACCCACAAAGGTAGACACTTAAATCTACTTGTTTCCCACGTAATAGCATCTTTTTGAGAGAAGCCATGAGCCAATAAGGACTGGGGATCAAAGTCAAATCCCTGTAGTTGCATTAAATGGCAGCCCAATAAAGGTGCTGCAGACCCCAGCAAGGGAGGCAGGGTTCGCTGAAGAAGCGTTACTCGTTCTCCCTCAGAGTGCCCTGCACGCCAGGGCCCTGGGCCATGCTCCCTTCTCTGCTCCTGGCACACGTCCCAAGCAGCGCATGTCGGCTCCCTGCTCGGAATCCTTCCTCTGTTGACACTCGGCTGCCCACAGACAGTCGGGCCTTCTGGTCTCCTTAGTGGCTAGGAAAATGCTCCCCAAATTCTGGGCCCGGCTCCCTGGTCCCCTGGCTCCGTCCCTCACCGGGACGACAGATGCCTTCGCGTCGTCGCTGAGGCCACCGGCGGAAGGACCCCTGCTCCACCGACCGCACACAGCGGCCTCGACCCTCGGGCCGTGGCTAGCGATCGAGACCACCAGCGGCTGCCCACGGCCAGGGCCCGTCGGGCCACACAGCCTGCCATGTCCCGCCCGAGCGCCCGCTCGGCTGCTGACACAGGGCCCGACCCGCGGCGGGGCGGCGTCCCCCCCCCCGCCCCAGACTGCCCCGCGCCGAAGCCCCGCCCCTTGGCCCTCGGGCCCGCCCCCCACGCGGCCGCGCGGGCTCGTCAGCTACATCCGGCGCAGGTGAGCGGAAGTCCCAGTCTGGGATCAGCTGACCAGAGAGAGAGCTGGAAATGGCGTCTTCCTTGCTTGGGGGCGAACGATTGATTCGCGCTTTGGGCCCTGGCGGAGAACTGGAACGGGAGCAGCTGCCCCGGAAGCTGCGTGCCCAGTTTGAGGCTGCTCTGGGGAAGAAACACACGAGCAGTGATGGCGCCACGGGCCCCCGGCGCCTGATTCCATTCCGTCTGATCCGAGAACTGCATCAGCACCTGAGAGAAAGAAGTGAGCGGACCCCAATCAAGAGTCGTCGCCTCATTTTCAGATCTAATCCCTCCTGAGGCTTTTCCCCCCTATCACTCACGCGTGCCTACCAAGTTCTCATTTAGCCAGTCCAAACCCCTCTTAAACCAGGTTCACTACTTCCATCTTAATTTCCGTGGGAATTCTTCGGATTTGTGCAGATTTTGTTGAGTGCCCTCTTTTAAAGTCCACCTAAGTCCACCTGACCCTTAAGGAATTAGAGATTCTAGCCCAGTACTATTTACCATTTTAAGTTTCTACATTGGGTGGGTGGGGGGGGCATTTAACGTAGTGAGCTTCTCCTGTTTGGGAATAGTGATTTTCCTTTCATCTGAAAGGCAAGGGCAGGGGATTTTTAAATTTTTTTTTAATGAGCTATGTATTTTTTCTTCTCTGCTTCCCTCTCTTCTCCGCTCAAGAAGGGAATTCTGGGGAATTTTGATTCCCGCCTCAGCCCTCGTTTAGGGGTGTTTAGGGGTGATGGTAGGGAAATAGAATGACAAAAAAAAAAAAAAACCCTATATTGAAAGGTCTGAGCCGAGAGTCACATCTAGTTCTAGTCCTTTCAGAGAAGTCATTTCTCCTCTTTGGACCCATTTCCTGTCTGCTAAGGGAGGGATAGGGTAAACTGGCATGTAGCATGTTTTGCCAGAATTAACATATCCTGGCCAGAAGTGCAAAGAGTAGATATTCAACTATTAGGACTGAAGAGGACATTAGGGAAAGATCCTCCGATACCGTGTCCTCTGAATGTTTAGCCCCACAACGACCCAGACCTATCTAGGACGGATCTGTTATTTTCACAAGACTAACCTACCATTGGCAGGGTTGACTGAAGACTGATAGCTAAAGTCAACTGTGTAGCACTAGGAAATACTAAGGCGGAATTGTTCTGGACTTGTCTTGGTTGAAATTTATCTTAATTTAATAAAAAAAAATGATCACGAGGCTGGGAATGGCACATGCATGAAATCCTAGGACCTGAGGGGCTGAGGCAGGTGGCTGGGTGTGGTGATGCATTCACATGTATACACACACGTACACACACACATACATATTTATGGGGCTATATATCCTAGGGATGGGTAAGCCGGGATGGCCATGTTTTATTTGAGTAAACTTAGTCTTCCAGCCTCAGCTTCATGGGTCATTATGTGGAGCCTTCTTCTTCCCAGATTCCAACCTGTACCTTCATGAACTCCTAAAAGGCAGTGAAATCTACCTCCAAGAGGTTGTGAAACCTCCTCGGGTATGTAAGGGGTGTATTTGTAGAGTAAGTACATGCTGAGTTGGGTATGGATTTTATTAACCAATTTTCAGGTTTGAGATTTTATATTATTTGGAATAGCTCGAATGTGGCTTGGTGAAAGAATACTTGCCAAAGCCCTGAGTTCAGTTCTTAGCATCAAAAAAATAAATAAAATTTGGGGACCAGTGAGATAGCAAGTTGGGGCAGTTGCCACCAAACATGGGAACCTGGCTTTAGTCCTCAGGACCCACATGGTATATGGAGAGAGGTAACTTCTAAAGGTTGTCTCTTACCTCCACAAGTGCACCGTGGCTTGTATGTGCACATGTACAAAGGATTAAACAACAACAAAAAAAATATTTGGAACCAGACAGTCATGGTGCATGGCTTAGATCCCAGCACTCCTGAGGCAGAGGCAGGCAGATCTCTGAGTTTAAGGCCAGCCTGGGCTACAGAGGGAGTTCCAGGACAGCCAGGGCTACCCAGAGAAACCCTGCCTAGAAAAAAAAAACAACAACAATAAAAAAATCTTTGGAATCTAAAATCAGAGAAGGAAAATTTGTCTGACAGATTTGGAAAACTGAGATCCAGTAATCCATTTTCCAGGCAATGGAAGTAAAACCAGTATGCAGAGGCCCCCAGCACCCTTCGCAGTACATTGCACATTGGAATCAATGATATATTTTGTATCAAGAAATATGTGGAAGAATTTAATTCTTCTCATGTGGTTGCTTTTGCTTTAGAATCCAGAGCTGGTTGCCCGACTAGAGAAGATTAAGATACAGCTAGCCAATGAGGAATATAAGCGGATCACTCGAAATGTCACTTGTCAGGTAAGGCCTACTCCAGCAGAAATACCTACAGAATTTTAATTTAATTTTTATTTAGTTTTAGTTTTTTTGATACAGGGTTTCTCTGAAACAGCTCTGACTATCTTGGAACTAGCTCTTGTAGACCAGGCTGGCCTCAAACTCATAGAGATCCACCTGCCTCTGCCTCCCAAGTGCTGGGATTAAAGGCATGTGCTACCACCACCCAGCCAGAGTTTTAATTTTAAAAACAATAGTAGCAGAGTATAGTAGTACACACCTTTAATCCAAGTACTCCTGATGCAGGGGCAGATGGATCTCTGAGTTTGAAGCCAGCCAGAACTATATAGTGAGACCCTGTATCAAAAAGGGAAAGACATGGCAATTCAAGCTCACTTTATGTAATGTTCTAGAACTGTAAGATCTCTGTGTTCTGCCAGGTGTGGTGGTGCTGTCTTTATGGCTGTTAACACGGAGAGGCCCGTCTTGAAAAACAAACAACAACAAAAAAAGACCTCTGTGTTCTATCTAGAGCAAACATAATCTTGAGTGTGTTCACTGAGACTCAGCTTAGATGGTAACCAATTCTTAAATATCATAGAAGTGGAGGTGAGCCTTGGCGCTCTTTCTTCATTTAAGGAAGGGGCTCTGTGGCCCAGGCAGATCTGGAATTCTGTATTCTCTTGTCCATGTTAGGGTTACAGGTATACCTATAGCATTTTATTTCTCCTGACAAGACTCCTTTGGCATGTTCTGCTGTAAGGTAGGAAAGGAGATGGATACTGGGAGCCTGCGTCCTCCTTTTTATCATCTAGAAGGCATCATACAAGTCCAGGGAAAAGAATCCCTGGAGAGGGCAGAATTAGTGTGTTGAGAAGAAAGGGCTGAGACCAGACTGGCAAAGATAGATTTCTAAACAGAATTTCATTCTGAAATCATCTGGGTTTTTTTGTTGTTCTGTTTTTTTTCCCAGGATGCACAGCGTGGGGGGACGCTGAGTGACCTAGGAAAACAAGGTGAGGTACTAGGAACCCAGGCTGCTCAAGCCTCTCAGGACTGGTCCTGGCCTTCCTTCCCACTGCGCTCTTCTTGGCACAAGGCTAAGATATTCAGTCTTGGTCTCTGAAGGAGAACCCAGTAGATGTGGGGGCAGCTAGGAGGCAATAGGATCTCCCTGAGAACATCGACCTGAATGTTTCTCTGAACTGTTTTCCCAAGTGAGATCGGTGAAGGCTCTGGTCATTACCATCTTCAACTTCATCGTCACGGTGGCAGCTGCCTTTGTCTGCACTTACCTAGGAAGCCAGTATATCTTCACAGAAATGGCCTCGGTGAGTAGGCACTGGGCAGAACAAAGTGCCCTTGCTGGGGTTAATGGGAAAGGGAGGATGTGTGTTAAAGTGCACAGGTTATCAGTTGCATATATTTATTGAATGAACAGGGCAGTGGTTCTCATCCTTCCTAGTGCAGAGGCCTGGTAATACAGTTCTCATGTGGTGACCCCCAGCCATAACATTAGTTTAATTGCTACTTCATAACTGTAATTTTGCTGCTGTTATGAATCATAATGTAAATATTTGATATGCAACCCTGTGAAAGGGTCATATGGGGTTGTGACCCACAGATTGAGAACCACTGACTTAGGGACTGGGATAGGGAATCTCCATTCTTGTTAGAGGTGCTAAGGGCTGCAGATTTAGTTGTTGGCCTGCATCCCCTGTCTGGTTCTCCCACTGGCAGAGAGTGCTGGCTGCATTGATCGTCGCCTCGGTGGTGGGATTGGCAGAGCTGTACATCATGGTGAGGGTGATGGAAGGCGAACTCGGGGAGCTGTAACTGGTGCTTCACATCAAAGTCTAGAAGAAGTTTGGGGAGCCCTAGACTGTCCGTTGTCCATCACTGACTCTCAGTCAATCCACGAAGCTCTATGTACTCAGCTCCAGTTAGAGGACCAGGTCAAGTTCTTCCTTGGGGAGCCATATCTGCTGTCAGTTTCCTTGGAGAGGAATAGAGAAGATTCAGACAGCAGTGATTCTTTAAAACAGAAAGAACTGCTCTCAATAACTGCTCCTGAATCCAGTGCTCATTTGCCTTCTGCGGTTCATTCTGAGTCTGCTGAGTCTGGGGTTTTCCCATCAGAAGAAAGAATCCAGACCTTCTCTCCAAATGGGCCAGACTGCCATGAACTGGCCCAAGTGCATAAGTCAGTCACCATCCTTCATCCACATATCTTGGCAGAAGACCCTAAGGAAGCAGAAGGCATGAACCTGAGAAGAACCAGTCAGAAAACAGGCATCAAATAAGAGAAAAGTGGTTGATACAGGATGGTGGAGCTGGAAATCAGGCAGCTAACTTTTTCTAGAAAAGAAAATGGGATCAGGCCATTTTCCAGAAGTCAAAACAGGCTGAAAACCAGATGATCAGCTGTGATCTTCTGTTCAGTGGAGCCAAAGGTGTCCACGTTGTCCTGTTGTCTGTGCTGTGTTGCACTCTTCAGAACGTAGAGAAGTTAGAGCATCTGTGTTCAGAACTTACGTTGGAGAAACTGTTTAAGACCCTTGAAAAATGTTATTTATCTAATAAATATTTCTTGTGTTCAGTGTGTTTTTATTTTAGATCCTATAAGAGTACAAAGCACAGCTGGGCGGTGGTGGCGCATGCCTTTAATCCCAGCACTCGGGAGGCAGAGGCAGGCGGATCTCTGTGAGTTCGAGGCCAGCCTGGTCTACAAGAGCTAGTGCCAGGACAGGCTCCAAAGCCACAGAGAAACCCTGTCTNCGAGGCCAGCCTGGTCTACAAGAGCTAGTGCCAGGACAGGCTCCAAAGCCACAGAGAAACCCTGTCTCGAAAAACCAAAAAAAAAAAAAAAAAAAGGAGAGAGAGAGTACAAAGTACAAAACCTCCTGTGATTCTGAGAATTGCTCAATATCTGCCCTCTCTTTTGTTTGTGACAGGGTCTTACTATGTAGCTCTGGCTGACCTCAGACTCATGGCAATCCTCCACCTCTGCCTCCTGAGTCCTAGGATCCAGGCATGTGCCATCATGGCAGGTCTTTGAGATCTGTCTAGCCTACCAGCTTTCCTTCCTTCCTTTCTTGTGTATGTGTGGCTATATATGCATACAGGAGCCTGTGGGGATAAGAGGAGGAGCTAGAGTTCAGCTGCTGTGTGGGTGCTGGGGCTGAGACTCCATTCTCTGCAAGAGCCGTGAACCACTGAGCCATCACTTCAGCCCTCTTCTTAATTGTAGACTTTCTGTTTCCTTGATGTGCTCAGATAGTGTGGTTTTTTCCTTAATTTTTTTTTTTTTGTAATTTATTTTACTTCCATGTGTGAATGCATGTGAGTACAGAGTTTTCATATGAGTCTCTTGTTTGTGTTACTCCAATGCCTACTACAGGCTACCTTTTCCTGTCTCTCCTCTCTATAAATGCTGGGATCCAACTCCTTCTGTGGATTCTGCTCATCAGGCTTGTACAGCAGCTGCTTTTACCTACTGAGCCATCCCTCTGGACCATCTGGTTTTCTCTAATTTTGTCTCTTATATCCTTACTGATCAGTAGATAGTCTGTCAGTTGTTTTTGCCAGTTCCTGTTAGTAGGGAGAAGTGTCGAGTGCAAGAAAATATAGGTAGACCAGGCTGGCCTTGACCTCACAGGGATCAGCCTGTGTCTGCCTCCTGAGTGCTGGGATTAAAGAAGTGAATCATTGCTGGTTCTGGTGGCGCAGGAAACAGTTTAGACAAAACAAAAAGTTTCTGATCACCAGGGCTGCTAAAGGTTGGTTCAGAAAGCCTCACTGAAGCCTTGGGGGGGGGGGGGGACAACACATGACTCACTTCCCTGTGCTCTCTGTATGCCAGGCTGCATACATATGTATGCCTATATATCATTAAGTACCTGGATTTAAGTTGAAGCCTTCCACATGTTAGAGGCTTGACTACAGCAGAATCTCTTCCAACAGACTTGGACCAGCCTAGGGTATCTCACAGTAAACTTGGGGTCCTTTGTTGGAAGGAATTGTCCCCTAGATCCTGGTCCCTTCCAACAGGCCAGTACGTTTCAGTGGCATCAAGCTCTTACGAACAGTAGTTCTATGGGCCAGGCACTATGCTGCTAGCATCTGGAGATAATAAGCCAAGATCTAGTTTTATGCCTTGGTGCAATGAAGCAAGAGGCAAGCTCCAAGGATCCTTCCATCTGCACAGGCAGAGGGTGTTGGGAATTAGGTGGCCAGTTCACAACAGAGGAGAGGGAACCCTTCCTCTCTGCCTCATCCAAAGCGCCCAGGGTCCAGGAGGTGCTTGGCAGAGGGACAGGAAGTTGGGGCCTTACTCGTTTCTCATGACTTCCTATATGGAACAGAGGGAGCTAGCATTTATTGAGTTTTTATTACATCATATGAAGTTTTTACCTAAATTTTCCCAGGACAGGAATGATTGCATCCTGCTTTGCAGATGTAGTCACATAGCAGAGCTAGGGTTGGAAGCCAACACAGACTGATTGCAGACTCCATGCTTTTCTCTCCAAAGCAGCTCCAGAGGTGGAGGTAACTAGAACATAGTGGAGTGCAAGCCAGCTACTGTGTCCCCAGAGCCTGTGCGAGCTCTGAGCCCTTTAATTAACCACTCTCTAATCCCAGCAGAAGCCTGGAAGTGATTCCTACCCGGAGCCTGTGGCACCTGGCCCTATTTGGGGATTTGGTGGTGGGAGATAAATTTCCCAGGCAAGCAAGCCTCATCACCATTTGCAATACAACAATCCAGATTAAAGTAGGGTTTTGTTTTATTTGGAGATTAGTTGGTATTACAGATGACAGTGATACAAAAGCCCACCCACTCCCCAGGTCTGTCAGGTTGTCCCCACAGCCCACATCAGAGGACAGCCAATCTGATCTTTGGGGAAATTCAATCAACCTAAGACCTGGGCTTCTATTTCTGTAACTTCAATATCACTCCCTCTTCAAATCCACAATTCTGATTAATTTGTCCAGGTGGCAGGAAGTCAGGCAATGGGGCTCTGAACCATGAAAAGGTGGGTCTCCCAGCAGTCCAGCAGAGGAGCAGTACCCTTCCCCTGGCTCATAGATAAGGTACTGACAGGGCTCACTCAGACTGGTGGCTGCCCCTTCAGAGGGAAGAGATCATCAGCTAAAATAATGGGAATGGTGGAGCCAAGCCTGGCGGTAGAGGTCGACAACATGGTCCCTTACCTTGGCGATACCTCCTGATGAGATAATGGGCATATGCCTCCAAAATGATCAGGGTGCCAGGTAGTAAGAGCTAGGCTCCAGCCACTGCATGGGATCTCCAGCTAGGTTGCTGGAGGTTGGGAGTGGAGGGATGGGTCTCTGAGCTAGACTCTTAGAGAATATTCCCTGTGTAAAAAGAGGCAGGAATTCTTAATGTGCTCCACTCCAGGAGAGATGGAGTGGGTTACAAGAGCTAGAGCCAAACTCCTAAGAGCTCCACAGCTAAGTTAGGAGTGATCTCTATTGGTGACAACAGCTGAGGTATAGATAAGGTCAGACAGGCTGCTCAGTGAGGTCTGAGGAACAATCTGCTCTAAAGAAGGGTGAACCCCTAAAGCCCCACTTGGTCCCCGTGGGGCTGCAGCTTTAGCCTCTGGAACCAAGCTGGGAGCTCCACAGGAGGTCTGTGAGCATGCTGAAGCCTGCTGAACTGAACTGGTGGGGTGTAGAGGCTGGCCTGGTGTCCCAGGGTCCCAGGGTTGCTGGGGAGTGTCTGGAAGAGAAGAGGCATTTAGAGGAAGCTTCAGCCTAGGGTTTAGGGCTCCTGGCTTTCTGTTCTTGATTCTCTTGGCTCGGCGGTTCTGGAACCACACCTGATAGGGAACATGAAGGGATATATTTTGGCACCAGCACACTCTCCTGGGACAGAAATTGAATATGAAGGCAGGATTCCCAGAGAGGAGAAGTGCTGTGTCAAGCCCAGAAGTTGGACTATTGCAGCTCACCTGGATCTTGGCTTCAGGCAGGTGAGTTACTTGGGCCAGGTACTCACGGGTACTGATGTCGGGATAGGGCCTAGCTGCAAAGACCCGTTCCAGCTCCAGCAACTGCCCAACACTGAAAGTGGTCCTCTTTCTCCGATGGGGACCCAATCCACTGGCACAGCCTGTGGGCCGGGATGGGAATCAAACTAGGACTCCCTAGCAAGAGCCTCTCAGCCCAGCTTCAAAGCCTTGCTGAGCCTCCGCAGCCCCTACTCCTTACACTCCTCACCCTTCACCATCCCTCCTTGTTACTCTCCCTCACCCTACCCATCCTTTCCCCACCAGATCACCTGGAGATGCTTCTGCTTCCACAGGACTGGCCATGGAGCTGGCACAGGGCGAGGAGTCAGAGGGCCATGCCAGGGCTGTTGCCCACACCAGGCTCATGCCTTAGGGTTTTAAGCTGTTCAGAGTGGGTGGCTCCGCCTCCAGAGGGAAGAGGCTTAGCATTCACTCAAGGGAGGTTGAAAAGGGAAGCAAGGCAGGATTGGGGCTGATAGAGTTCTAGGTTGGACCAGAATGATACACATCCCAGCTTTCGCCAAGAAGCTGGTCACACCTCCCTCCTCAAACTTCAGCCTCTGGCAGTCTCTGCTTTTAGTCCTGTACTGTGTGAAACCCCCCAAACACAGAAATCTACCTCCCCAAAGTTCCCAGGGCTTCAGCTGCCCTCTATGATCCCCCAGTGCCCTGGTCTTGGCGCCTTCAGGGGAAAGTGAGTGAATTCCTGTCTCACTCTCTGAGGACTGGGCAGTGAAACTGGGTGGGATGAGGATGTTGTTGGAGCCACTTACTGTCAGCAGGCTAGGGAACAGTTGCCACCAACAGTTTACCCCCAGGGCTACTATAGAACCCTTTCTGGCTCCTCAAAAGGCCAGACTGAGGCTGGACGGTGGTGGCACATGCCTTTAATCCCAGCACTTGGGAGGCAGAAGCAGGCAAATCTCTGCATTTAAGGTCAGCCTGGTTTACAAAGTGAGTTCCAGGACTGCTAGGGCTACACAAAGAAACCTGTCTCAAAAAAGAAAAACTAAAAGGCCAGACAGGCTTCCTGAAAACCAGGATCTTGGAGCCAGGGAAGGTTCCTTGGGTGAGCCAGGGGTTCACAAAGACTTTCACTTTTACAGCCAAGCTTTCCTCTAGTGAGGGTTTTCTGAGCTGCTTTACTATGAGAAAGGGGATGTAGGCCAATGTTCTTTCTGCCCCCCACCCTATGCCCAGGGCAGAAGCCTCAGAGAAAAGCCCCCGTTAGGTAATGTTGTGGGAGTCTATCCCTTTGTTATTTGGGAATTACATGTAATCTAGATTCACAGTGGACAGCAAAGCTGAGTTGAATTCCACTCTCTAGCTCCTCATCTCCTCTGAGGCCCTAGTTAACTCCACCATCAAAGAAGCCTCACCTGGAGAGGGTGGCTGGGTAACTTATCACCACAGGGGCTGGAATTCATGTTTAACTGTGGAGCAGGATGGACTGGGGGGGGGAGAGGGGGAACGACACACCGAATGTGACGGATGGGGACTTGGAAGTGTAGCTCTCACAAGCCTCCAGTGTTTCTGGTTTAGGAAGAGCACCCGAGCCAAGTGGGGTCTTCTCTGTCCCTCACAATCAGCCCTGAGAGCCCCACTGGTCCTCCTTTGTCCAGGGGACAGGGCTGCCCACCCTATTCAGGACAGTAGTCTTAAACTAGGGGCCAACAGACTTTATTGGGCTGGAAGGAAAAGGCTGGAGGATGGGTTTCCTGAGTCTCCGCTGTGTGGGCTGACTCCTACTTTTCAGGGACTGAGCAGCCCAGCCAATACTGAGCAATAGAGCGTGGGTATGGAGGGTTCACAGAGTCCACGCGCCGTGTTCTAAGGTTGACTCGATAGTACTTGTCTGAAAGAGAGAACGGAAAGAAAGTGTATGAATGTGTGAGATCCTGCCTGGTACTGTCACAGGAAAAAAGAAAAAAGAAAAACAAAACAAAACAAGGGTTTCTCTCAGAAGTGAAAGTGAACATCCACCAGGCAGATAAGGTTACCATCTATAGGTAGTGTTCAGCACTCAAGGACCAAAACCTGCAGGAAAGCACCCCCCCCCCGCCCCCAGCAAAACCAGCTTCAGGGGTAGCAGGGACTCCCACCTCCAGAGAAGAAGTAGACGCTCTGAATGGGCTCACAGGTGGCAGGTACGAGCCAGTTCATATCATAATAATCATCATTGTAGGTTCCTAGATCGCTCTCCTCACTAGAGAACAAGAACCAGGATGAAAGCGATGAGCGACGGGAGTTCAGGCTGTGGCGGCTGCGGCGGCTGCGGCGGCTGCGGCGGCCATGGCGAGAACGGTAGCGTTTTCGGCTGCGGCGCCTAGACTTCTTTTTTTTGGCCGGGAAGGCATGAGATGTGGAGTCTGCGATGTAGATGTGGCCGGCCATAGCAGCATCCACTTTCCCTGGCACACCATGCCAGTCCCGGCTGATGAAATGGGGTCCGCTGGTGCCTTCTGTAGCAGGGCAGGGGTTAATGAACTTTGAGGATCCAGGCTTTGATTTCTCCAGCAGGACACACACACACACATATTAAAACAAGGTTTCTCCCATGGCTGGTCTGAAACTCACTATGAAGACCAGACTGGCCTCTTAATTCACAGAGATCTGCCTCCCAAGTGCTGGGATTAAGACGTGTGCTACCACAGCTAGCTCCAGCAGGCCCTATAGAGTTCATCTGCTGTATCCTGCCCAAGATACACAAGGTCATGCTAGAACTCAGTACCCCTGACCAGTGCTTTTTCCTGTGTCCTCTCTCCATTGTATCCCTTGTGTCTCTGCCCCCTCCCAAACCCCTTATCCTCTGGCCCCTCCTTCTGCTGTGTTAGGCAAAGTTCAAGGTATGGGGTCCAAATGGAGCCAAGCCTCACCCCCAAAAGTCAACAGAAGCAAAGTCTAGCCAGAGCAAACAACTTTTGATCAATGGTGCCACAATTCCAGTCTCCTCCCCCCTTAACCCCCCACCACCATAGTCCAGCCCTGCTCCAAACCCACTTTCTGGAGAAAGAAGCCAGACTTGCTCTCCCTCCATACCTGAGGAACTGTCCCAGAAGAGGAGCTCAAAGATGTTGTCCCAACGGCCTCGGTGAAGCAAGGCAAAGCGCTCAAACACGGTTGACAGAGAGCTGCCTTCGCAGTCCTCTTGGCTGGGCTGCTGTTGGAAATCGTATTCCCAGTACTGCTTCCCTGAGGAGCAGACAGCTGGCATCAGAAGGGCTGGGGAGCTCTGAGGCAGGGTAGGAGCATACCCCCAAAGCCCTGACTCAGGGAAGTGGAGAAGAGAGCGGGGGACTCCTCCGCTCCCTGCCCCTGCCCCTCCCACCCTGAGTACCCTTAAAGAAGTAGGCTCTCTCCCGGCCACTGTAGCGGTGGGCAGGAAGGGCTAAAGCGGCATCGATATTGTCTGGTATGCCAATGAAGCCTTCAGAGATGTTCCGGGGATAGTCAGGGTCCAAAACACCATCTTCGAAGCGCCAGTACTGACTTCCCTGAGAGGCAGGGAAGATGGAAAGGTGAGGACCTACTGCCGGGCAAAGTGGCAGTCCTAGATCCTGAACTGGCTTTCAGCAGCTCCTGAAACCCCTGTCAACCTTGACACTCTTTACCTTGACTCATAGGCTTGGGTCTGGTACCTTGAAAAAGTAGGTCTTCCCCTGACAGTTGATGCGCGTGAAGGCAGCATCAATGGGACCCTCGATGCCCCAGACATCTCGGATGAGTTTGGGGTACCCAGGCTTCACCGCCGTTTCATCTAGCTCATAGCAGTACTGCCCTAGAATAGGGGAAGCTGTGTGAGAAACAGATGTTCCTAGGGCAGACCCCACCACCACCAGACTTGTCCATTGAGGCACCTCGGAAGGCAAAGATGGAACCGTTCTTGAGGTCCGTGAAAGCGTCAAAGGGCTTCCCACTACACAACTCTTCCTCTGGGAAGTCAGAGGTCCCTTGATCAGTGGTGTCAGGCCTTTCCTGGTACCCCACTTCAGGTTCTGGGATGCCTGCCTGCGGTTCGGGAGTCTGTTCCTCGGGCTTTAGGAAAGTTGTTGGCTTTGAAGTGCTTTCAGTTTGGGGCTGCTGAGGAACGCTCTCTGGTTGCACAGGGGAGCTGGTGCTGTTCTCGGTCCCCTCCGAATACTCGTAGTTCCAGTACTCATCTTCCGGCATAGTGAACACATCCCCCCGAGTCACTGCAGGCAGAGAGGGCGGCAGTGAGCTTCCAGGCGCACGGGGACCCCCACGCCCACCCACAGGGCTCTGAACAAACCTTGGGGCTTGCACTGCTCCAGGTAGTCCGCACAGCAGCTCTGATAGTAACTGCAAAGCTCGTCACACTGACACTTCCTGGAGGCCACAAACCCCTGCGCGCAGCGGCCCTTGCATGACTCTGCGGGAGGGAATGCCAGTCTTTATAGAGCCCAGGCCAGGCAACCTGCCCACCCTGCACTGCCCTAGATGCCCACCAGTCACCCCCATACCTTGGTCAGCTAGAGAAATCCATGCCAGCAGGGCTAGTATGAGGAAGGGCCTCAGAGGTGCCATGGCAGGCCTCTAGCAGAGGGCCTGGCAAGCTGGCCTCAGAGCTTCCGGTCCGTCCTGCCTGGAAAAGGAATCAAACTGAAGAGAAGTTGCTATTTCACCGGGTTTCTGCTTCTGTTTGCTCATCCTCTGGCCCAGCCCTAATCCCCTCCTCCAAACACAGCTGCAACAAAGGGTCACATTCCCAGAACCCTACCCCTAGGAGTGCTGGGAAATAGAACCCTCGCCAAGACCAGAGTCAGGAGGGTCATGGGCAGCTGGGATAGCATGGTGGGTTGGGAAGGCAGAAGGAAAGCAGGTGTTGTCACCCTGTGAGCCGGTTACATTCATCTCTCCAAGTCTTGCTTTTCATAAAATGGGACCATGGCGCCAGGCCTCATCAACAGCAAATACGCAGTCAATGATTTATTGTTTGATTAGGGCCATCCCCGACTAGATGTTTGTCCCATCCGACCCCCACTTCCCAGTTGAATATTTGGGGCAGTGGAGAGGAGAGGGGTGGGAGGAGAGCTGCTAAGCGCTCTGGGGGAGGTTTCTCTTCTTATCATAAAAGAACAAAGCTTCATTTCTTGCCTCTCCTTGTGGAAGCATGGTTCTCTCAGCTGGGCTCCACAGCACAGGAAGCAATGGCCCTAATGCTTTTGGTCACAACCCATTCCTTTCTTCTCTTTCTTTCTTTTTTTTTTATTTTTTATTTTATTTTGTTTTTTTATTTTTCGAGACAGGGTTTCTCTGTGTAACAACAGTCTTGGCTATCTTAGAACTTGCTCTGTAGACCAGGCTGGCCACGAACTCACTAAGATCCACCTGCCTCTGCCTCCCAAGTGCTGGAATTAAAGGCATGTGCCATTACCACCTGGCCTCCTTTCTTTACCTTTAGATTTATGTATTTTATTTTGTGTGTGTATCTGCACCACACACATGCCTGGTGTCTGTGGAGGTCAGAAAAGGACTTTGGACACCCTGGAACTGGGTTTTGAACAGTTGTGTGCTGCCGTGAGCACTGGGAATCAAATCGGGATCCTCTGCAAGAATGAGTGCTCTCTCTCTCTCTTTTAAGATTTATTTATTTATTGTGTATCCAATGTTCCTCCTGCTTATACACCTCCATGCCAGAAGAGAGCACCAGATTTCATTACAGATGGTTGTGAGCCGTGTGGCTGCTGGGAATTGAACTCAGGACCTCTGGAAGAGCCTGTGCTCTTAACCTCTGAGCCATCTCTCCAACCTCCTAAAGATAAAGGTTTTTGTTGTTTGTTTGTTTAAGACAGGGTTTCTCTGTAACTTTGGAGCCTCCTGAAACCAGACTGACCTCGAACTCACAGAGATCTGCCTGTCTCTGCTTCCTGAATGCTGGGATTAAAGGCATGCACCGCCACCGATGAGCCACCACCGCCCAGCTAAGAATGGTTGCTCTTAAGGACAAAACCATTTCTCCACTCCCAGAGCCCATTCCTGAGGCTCCCACTAATCCACTGGTCCTCAGTGGACCAGCCCTGAACTCACCTTCAGTGACCCCATCTATAAAGACTCGTTGAGCATACTTTTACACTCACATGGAAAGTGTGATCCCTCTATGAAGAAAATGCTCATTGGTACAGAACACCAGGTCTTGAACCAAATTCCAAGCACCAGTATGCTTCTGAAGCCCCTAAGTTCTCTGTTCTGAAATCACAGGGGAGTGTGCCTTTGGTGTCTCTTCTCTATGGGTCTCAGTAGTCTCAGCAGCAAAATAAACAAAATAAAGCACTAAATCTTACTCCCTATAGACACATGAAGCCTAAGTGGAAACAGGAATTAAAGGACCTTAAGAATCTCACTGCTGGCAGTGGCACCAGGATTTATCCCTACTGCTTGTACTGGCTTTTTGGGAATCTATTCTCTTTGGATGGATACCTTGTTCAGCCTAGATACAGTAGGGAGGGCCTTGGACCTTCCCCAAAGCCATGTGCCTTACCCTCTTTGTGGAGTGGATGGGATGGGGTGGGAGGTAAGTGGAGGGAGAGGGAGTGGGAACTTGGATTGGTATGTATAATGAAAAAAGACAGTGTTTTTTGTTTTAAAAAATAACAAATTAAAAGAGAAAAAAAATTCAACTGCACCCTGCCGTGTAGAAAAACAAAAAGGGGGGAGGAGAATCTCAGCTGCGATTCTTTAACCATCCGAAGGGAGTGTGGGTACATTCAGCCTGTTCCCTACCACATCGACCCGGGGCAGGGCCAGCTATGGGGAGCGACGACTCTTTCCAGCCCTTTCCATAGTCTGGCGCACCTCGAAGGAGGCGTGGCCAAGTGATGCCTGGGGTGGGGCTTGAGCCGACGGGAAAGTCGAGCTTGCGAGACCTAGAGGCGGGGCGTCAAATCTTTGGCTACTCAGAGGCGTGGTTGCTGTTGAGCATCTCAGCATCACCGAGCAAGAGGCTGGAGCCGTGCTTTGTTCTGGGCACCGGCGCCTCTATCTTCCCGCGTCGGTTCCATCCTTTGCTTCCCTCTCCCGGCATCCCCTTCCCCAGACGCTGCGGCTGAGCGCCCTTGCCAGGTTCTGGTTTTTGCTTTTTCCTCCCAAGGCGGGGGGTCTCTCCGCCAGGCCCCGCCCCTCCAGGCCCGGCATGTCCCCTGCTGCCCCGCGCCCATGGTCCTGACGCTGCTCTTCTCCGCCTACAAACTGTGCCGCTTCTTCGCCATGTCGAGCCCACGGCCGGGCGCCGATCGGTTGACAGTGCCAGGGCCGGATAGGAATGGTAGCGCCAGCCCGTGGTGGGCCGCGGGCCGTGGATCCCGCGAAGTGTCGCCTGGGGTGGGCACCGAGGTGCAAGGCGCCCTGGAGCGTTCGCTGCCGGAGCTGCAGCAAGCGCTGTCCGAGCTGAAGCAGGCAAGCGCGGCGCGGGCGGTGGGCGCGGGCCTCGCCGAGGTCTTCCAGCTAGTAGAGGAGGCCTGGCTGCTGCCGGCCGTGGGTCGCGAGGTGGCCCAGGGTCTGTGCGATGCGATACGTCTGGACGGTGGCCTCGACTTGCTGTTGCGGTTGCTGCAGGCACCGGAGCTAGAGACCCGCGTGCAGGCCGCGCGCCTGCTGGAGCAGATCCTGGTGGCTGAGAACCGGTAAGGGAGAGCACCGTGAGGTGTGGAGAGGCCAGGGCAGAGGAGGTGGTTGGAGCTGGCATCCCATTGCTGATAGCCGCCTGAGCCCATAGTTCTCCCCTGCATCTGGGTGCCCTTCTGTGCTACCTTCCACCAGCCATGACCTCATTCTGCAGTGTCTGATCAGGAACAAAAAGTTTTTTTGCTGGATTGAGAGGGTGGGGGCAGAGAAAACTGAGACACATTCTCTTCCTCTGTTTGTGGGAACAGACTAAGCCTGGCTGGCTGTCCTTCACCTACCTCTTGGGACCTTCTCTGAATTATGAAGCACTCAGAGAGCTCACTTTCCCAATCCTCTGGTGCCAGAGCAAAACGGGTTGTCGCATTCCCAATTCTCCCCCAAACCTCAGACTCTTAGCTAAGAAATTTTTAGAAAAGTCACTTTCAGCACGCTGCCCTCACAAGTACCAGGGAAATTTTAAATCACGTGGAAAGAATACAACTGTCAAAAATGCACATACAGGACAGTTTAGGTTGGGAGACCCAAGGTAAGATGCCGCTTGCCTTACCTCTCTCATCTAACACCTGGTGGCCTATAATGGGCTTGGGCCGTGAATATAGAACTTGAAAATAGAGTGGATGCTTGCTGAATGTGTTGGGGCCCAGTCTGACTGGTGAGGGCTTGGTATGTGGGTTAAGAAGCTAGAACTAGTGCCTGTGGAAAGTGGGTACAGGGAGCACCCTAGGAGAAGCAGGAGTGCATGATGCAAACATACTGATATATTTTCAACAATGACAATGACTGAGTAACGACTAGGGACCAGTCCCCAAACACAGGGGGTGTTGCTTCAGGACCAAGGACAGGGCACAAGTCCTAGCCTTCAAGCTCTTGCCCCAGAAACGGGGGGGGGGGGGGGGGGGGGGGGGGGGGGGGGGGGGGGCTCTGCGTTCTTGCTGAGTGTGCAGGGATAAGACTGGAAGGGAAAGAGAGAGGAGCACACTGAGGGTTTACACTGTGAGGATTCCCCTCCTCCATCAATCAGCCTCCTCACTGACTCTTTTTGCCATTCTACTCTGGCAGCTTTAGTCTTCCCCAGGATGTTGCTGCAGTCACTTCCCAGAATCCCAAATGACTTTCTCTCACCTCTGAACTGCCAACAGTGCAGGGCTCTTCAGACCTGGTACCATGACACCCAGTGAGGACACCATCTAACAGTTCTCTAAGTCGTAGGCCACCCCACCAGGGGAGCAGAATGAACATAAAGGACATACTCTCAGGGAAGCTAAATGGCCTCCCCCAGAATACTGAGTGAGTAATAGAGGAGACTGCTTTTTAATATAAGGAAAGAACAATGTTGCACATAAATTCAAAAAATGCAAATGTGTGCAAAAAAGGTATAATACTGAAAATTCTCAACGAAGCCTCCTCTATGGAGGAAAACCACTGGACTAATTTTTTGTATATCCTTCAAGAGAGGGGTGGAGCATACACAAACATTTGCTCATAGTCACAAGACTGTTCCCTACTTGGCAGCTGGAATTTGAAACTAGAGCTGCGTACCTCCAAAGATTATGGCCATTTCATCAGACCCACAGTCTCAGACAGCAGAACTGGGAAGGGAATTAACAGTTTTCACAACCAGCACACAGCTTTAACTTCAGGAACATTTCTGGGTGAAGGAAAAGGTAAGGGCTGGAGGCTAAGATTTAGATATTGGAATAAAGTTCCAGGTATGAACTGATGTTTCCATGTAAGGGCTAGAGGCTAAGACTTAGGGATTGGAATAAAGTTCCAGCTGTGAACTGATGTTCCCAAATACGCCTTTACTTCACAGAGTCTTCAGTGAGTCCTCTGAAAATATGAGTGTTAGATGAGATGGCTTCTTCTTTCAATTTTTCTTTTTATGTGAATGAATGTTTTGCCTGCATGCACATCTGCGTACCATGCGTGTGCAGTACACACAGAGGTCAGAAGAGGATATTGGATACCCTGGGCCTGGAGTTATAAAGGATTATGAGCCACTATTTGGATTCTGGAAATTGAAATCAAATACTCTATAAGGCCAGCCAGTGCTCTTACCTGCTGAGCCAACTCCCCAGTCCTGAGATGATTTCTTAGGCACATCTAGCCCCGATAGCCTAAGAGTTGACCTAGTCCAAAGTGAAGGTGAAGGACCTTGAACTCCCGAGACAAAGAGACAGACCTCGGGTTTGGCATGACCTCTCTCTGACCTTAGCTTTCCTCACTGGTGAAAGGAATGCCTGAGTTCCGATTCCAGGATGGATAGTTAGGACCATTTGTTCCTTTGGGGGTGGGCTGTAGAGAGGCGGAGTAATGAGGTCAGGAAAGCTTTGCTGAACTTACAGCAAGTCCAGGACTTAACCAGACCACACAAGTGTGCAATGCCCTGTACACTGTGCACTATGGTCACTCTGGCATCCACAGAGCAAGAATTCTGTTGTCCACTAAGTCTTTGGAAGTCACCTGACTAGGGGATGTCGTCTATGGAGGTAAGTGTGGCAGGAAGCCTTCATCTCTGCCTGGAGAGGAGAGTGGCAGCTTGCTTACTTTTCTGGCAACCTTAAGGATTTGTCTTGGGCAAACCTTCCCTGCAGCAGCCAGTTCCTTAAAGCCTAGACAAAAACTAGACATCCCTTCCCCGAAGCTCTTCAGCAGCTTCCTGTACGGAGTCCTTGAGGAAGCTGAAGAGACTGTCAGGGCTGATTTCTTCCCCTCTCTTTCTTTGGACCCTCTGCTTTAGCATGTGGGAGTGTGGTTAGCTCCCCAAGGGGTACCAGCTCTCATCCAAAAGTTGAAAGCCTGTGCCTGCACCCATCTGCAATGCAAGATCCCCTTCTCCTGGCTTACATCCCAAACATCCTCCTGACCTAATCCCTAAGCAACCATTGAACACATTTCATGTATCTGATGCGTTCTTTTCTTCTCTTTTATGATGCTAGGATCTAGAGTCAGGACCTTGAACACGTTAAACAAGCACTTTTCTTACCAGCCCGCCTGTCTGTCTGTCTGCCTGCCTGCCTGCCCAACTTTCTGTTTGTTTGACATAGGGTCTCACTAAATTACATAAGCTTACCTCCAACTCACAATCTAGTCCTGGCCTTGAGTTTCAATTCCCAACTTCTTTTTTGTTTGTTTGTTTGGTTGGTTGGTTTTCTGTGTCAGGGTTTCTCTGTGTAACAGTCCTGACTTTCTCAGAACTCACTCTGTAGAACTAACAGAGATATGCCTGCCTCTGTCTCCCAAGTGCTGGAAATAAAGGTGGTGCCACGATGCCCAGCTTAATTCTCAACTTCTGGAGTAGCTGAGATTAGAGATGTGTGCGGCTGTGCCCACCCTGGTAAACCTCCAGGCTTGTTCTGCGTGCAGGCATTTTTAACTCACACAAATGTCACTGTGGTATATAGTGCACTACGTTTCCTTTTCCAGCTCCACATTAAGGTCATCAGACCCTTCATGTTACATACCAGATGTACTGGGACACACTTTAATCCCAGCACTCAGGAGGCAGAGAGGCAGGTGGATCTCTGTGAGTTGAGGCCAGCCTAGTCTGTCTAGTGAGTTCTAGGATAGCCAAAGCTACATAGTGAGACCCTGTCTGGAAAACAAACAAACCAAAACAATAATCATGAAAAAGATTTTTCGTGTTACAACGTTACAGATCTTCTCAGTCATTTGTTACAATGGATGAGCACCTGTCCAATTACTTCTGGGCTTGGTATTGATGGCTCTAACTTCCTCGCTTCACAAATAGCACCGTGTCAAGCATCTTGATACCTGTGCCCTCAGTTGGACTCTTTTTAGGAGAGATTGCCTGCTCTCCAGATTGACCTGCCCAGCTGGCACCCCTCCCACAGTGCTCAGGACCGTCCCAACCCTCCCGCCCTCTGTGTTTGCCCACCTGCCAGGCAATTGTTACTCCTCTGACTACCCAGAAGACTGTGGTGTCTCTTGGTTGCAGTGTCTCTTTATGTTCGCCGTATTTTGGATTTTCTTCTTCATATATTGTCTAAGACTTTGCTCATTTTTCTATTGAATTCATTGCATTTTGTTGGTTTGAATATTTACTTACACACTCTGTGCATAAGTAAATGCTTTATTGTTTTTCCTCTTTTTCCTGACTGATTTTAGACACTGTTTATCCCTGGCCTTCCTTCTCTTCCTCAGACATGCTAGCTCATCCGTGGTGGGGCCTTTGTCCTGGCTCTTCCCCCCCCCCTTCTCCCATTAGGCTCTTCTCTGAGTCGTTTGCAGGCAGGCTTCTCAATATTATTTCCCAGATAAAATCTCCTTAGACACATCCTGACTCCATGACATCATCCAGTTTGCTAAGCATGGTGCCTTACTAACTCAGAACTTGAGCTCTTATTGGTTACTTGTCCACCCCTGGCCTTGTTGGCTGAATAAAATGTAGTCAGGTTTACTCACTGCTTAGCATCAGCCTCTCAAGTGCCAAGTTGGGTGCATGGGAGGTCCTCAAACAGTATCAACCGAGTAAATGAATTAGCACACACCAGTCATGGACAATGAAGGGAGGAATCATTCGAGGACAGGCTTAAGAGTGATGTACTTCCAGCGACACATCAAATGACAGGTTCACGTTTATTGTGTTTTACGGGTGATCTTTTTAAAAATTTGTTTTCTTTTTTTTTTTTTATTGCGTCTCTGTGCTTGTGTGTGCATGTGTGTGCAGGTGCACTCCAAGACCAGGAGAAAGCAAAGGTTCCCCAGAACTGGAGTTATAGGCACTTGTGAGAACTGAACTCTGGGCCCCTCTGCAAGAGCATCAAGCAGTCAACGGCTGAGCCATCTCTCCATCCTCTTTATGGATTATCTTGTTAGTCCTGATAATATTTTTGTAAGATAGGTATTATTTTCCTGTTCGTAAGGTGAGGAAACTGAAGTTGACAAATGAGGTGTTGGCAATTAGAAAGCAGCAAAGAAGAACCCGGGGGCCCAGGGATCGGCCATAGAGTTGGAAGCATTCAGCCAGCTTTAGGGAGAAGGTAAAGAGGACAAGGCTGCTGCCTGCGGTGTCTTTTCCGACACTAGTGAGGCCCAGAGATCAGGCCAGGCCTCCGTGAGAAAGCCAAGCTCCGGAGACTGCAACCACATCACGTTCTCTTTCTCCTGTCGCCCGGCAGGGACCGTGTGGCGCGGATAGGCCTGGGCGTGATCTTGAACCTGGCAAAGGAACGCGAACCGGTGGAGCTGGCACGGAGCGTGGCGGGCATCTTGGAGCACATGTTCAAGCACTCAGAGGAGACGTGCCAGCGGCTGGTGGCGGCCGGCGGTCTGGACGCGGTGCTGTACTGGTGCCGCCGCACCGACCCGGCGCTGCTGCGCCACTGCGCCCTGGCGCTGGCGAATTGCGCGTTGCACGGGGGCCAGGCGGTGCAGAGATGCATGGTGGAGAAGCGCGCCGCCGAGTGGCTCTTCCCTCTTGCCTTCTCCAAGGAGGACGAGCTGCTGCGGCTGCATGCCTGCCTGGCGGTGGCGGTGTTGGCTACCAACAAGGAGGTGGAGCGCGAGGTCGAGCACTCTGGCACGCTAGCGCTCGTCGAGCCGCTCGTGGCATCCCTGGACCCCGGCCGCTTTGCCCGCTGCCTGGTGGACGCCAGTGACACAAGGCAGGGTCGCGGACCGGACGACCTACAAAGCCTGGTACTGCTGCTCGATTCGTCGCGTTTGGAGGCTCAGTGCATCGGGGCTTTCTATCTGTGTGCTGAGGCTGCCATCAAGAGCCTACAGGGCAAGACCAAGGTACTGGTGCAGAGGAGGTGGCTCAAGGGTTAGAGAGAGTCTGGGAAGGTTTCTCAGAGGAAGTGATCTGCAACTGGGGTTTGAGTACTAGTAAGAATGAAGGGTCGCATAGACAGCGATATGGAACATGTCTGCAGAGTCAGATAGGTCTCTGTGACTTTGAGGCTAGCCTGGCCTACATATTGAGTTCCAGGCCAGGTAGGGCTTTAAAAAAAAAAAAGTATAAGGACTTAGATGAAGCGATCAGAAGGTAGAGGGACCAGTCATTTTGGCCTTGAAGACAAGACTCAAAGTTGAACTTGGTCTTTGGGGACAAGACAAGGTACTGAGAAGTTTTAAAATAGGAGACCCTTGATTTTTACAAATATCAACCTGGCTGCTGTAGAAGCGGGGATGACAAGGGTAGCTTGAGGCTGTTGTGAATGCTGGGGAGGCAAACAGAGAAAGTGGAGGAAGAAAGGAAGGAATGTGGACGATAGCAGAGAGAAGCAGACAGATTAGGGATTTATGCTTGGGAAGGGGCGAGGGGGCTGACGGTGCTTCTTGGTCGTGAACATGAGGCGGTAAACTGGGTGGAGGTCACAGGGGAAGCGGGGAAGACCCGCGGGCACTACTGAGCCCGGGGTGCCCAGCAGAGGTTCAGTTGGCAGCTAAGCCACCTGCATCTAGAGTCTGGGAAAGAGATGGCCCCCGGAGAAAGAGGACCTCGATGTAAATGGCGGTCACCTGAGTCACAAAGGATCCCTATGGCCAAGATCTAAACCACAGCCTTTGCCTACTTCCCAATTTACCGTCACCTTGGGCAGCTAGCTTTCCCCCTCTGGAACACGTTTTGGCTTTTTGTAAAATTGAAGGAGTCACTGGAATGTATGGAGGAGTCTCTAATCTATCTGGATTCCTATGATTTAGTGGGGTTCCAATCAAGCTAGAAAAAAACTAAGGGTTTAGGGACACTTCTGATGTGGGAGTTGGGAGTATGGGATTTAGGGTCTGCTGCCACCTAGCGTCCATATTGAGGCTTTATTCCAGGGCGGATGGGCGTGGAAGTTGGAGCTCATAATCAAGAGTGGATGCGTTTCAGGAGGGAAACTGCATGTGTGTGTGGGGGGGGGGGGACGGAGGAGAAAGGACTACACGCGTGACTTAGTAATCAAGGCTAGGACAGTTTGTGGGCCTTTCTTCTGAAGAGAAATGGGACTGGGCACGTCTGGTGGCAGCTGGGGAGCTGAGAACCTTAGGCTCCCCCCTCATCCGTCCTCCTTCCTAAGGTGTTCAGCGACATCGGTGCCATCCAGAGCTTGAAACGCGTAGTTTCTTACTCCACTAATGGCACCACGTCGGCGCTGGCGAAGCGCGCGCTGCGCCTGTTGGGCGAGGAGGTACCCCGGCGCATCCTGCCCTGCGTGGCCAGCTGGAAGGAGGCCGAAGTCCAGACCTGGCTGCAACAGATCGGCTTCTCCCAGTACTGCGAGAACTTTCGGGTAGAGCCGCGGGCAGTCATCTCCCCCTACACCAAGTGGGCGCATTCCTGACGGGCTGCTGGGGGCGTTCTGAGCACAGGCGTCAGCGTGCCCTGTAAGCCTCACGCCAGCAGCGCCACCGCGGCCTTTTAGGGGTGGGAAACCCTCAGTTAGCCACCCTCAGAGTCCCATCGGCTTCCACCGCCACCTCCTGTTCCTTTCCCTTGCATCTTGCGCTGTGGGGCGGAGGGAGGAGGAGAGCCTTCCTCACTTCTCCCCCTCCCCCAGGATCAGCAGGTAGATGGTGACCTGCTTCTACGGCTTACAGAGGAAGAACTCCAGACAGACCTGGGCATGAAATCGAGCATTACCCGCAAGAGGCAAGGAGCCCCCAGTCAGTCCAACCCAGTCTCCCCCTCTGCCACCAGCCCATGCTTAGCACCCTTAGCATCAAAACTGTAACATCGTTTTCTACCTGCTGGGCAGGTTCTTTAGGGAGCTCACAGAGCTCAAGACCTTTGCCAGCTACGCTACATGCGACCGCAGCAACCTAGCAGACTGGCTAGGCAGCCTGGACCCTCGCTTCCGCCAGTACACCTACGGCCTGGTCAGCTGCGGCCTGGATCGCTCCCTGTTGCACCGCGTGTCAGAGCAGCAGCTCCTGGAGGACTGTGGCATCCGCCTGGGGGTGCATCGCTCACGTATCCTCTCTGCAGCCCGAGGTAAGCGCGCCCACCTGGGAACCCCACCCCACTCCAGCTCCAATCCTGAAAGGGAGAGGCTGGAGAATCTACCTCCCTGAGGAGTGAGCATCTGACTGGGTTAGTCTGGCTTTGAGGATGGAAAGATGAGCCTGTGGCCTTTTGCCCTTAAGAAGTCCTCCACCTGAGATGGGTACCAGGGAGGGAGATAGGAGGTATACAATCAGCAGGTGGCCGTGGTAGGAAGCATTCCCAGGACTCCTGTGGGAGCCCAGAGGAATCACTGCCTGTCTTGGTCACCCAAGTTCAGACTTGGAGAGGAGGAGGTGTTGTCCAGGTTTTGAGGGATGGGGGGTGGGCAGGGAGAACAGGAAGGGCAACGGGCAGGCAGGGCTAGCTTTAGCAAGAATAAGAACAGGTAGGGCAGTACATGGGTGCCACTGAAGGGCACTGGTGGTTTGGGGAGGGGATGTGAGGGTTGGGGAAGGCTTGCCCTAGTATCCGGCAGCTTACACAGCCTGGGTTCTGGCAGTACATCCCAGCAGAGCCTAGGGCACTGGCAGTCTCCTTTCCTCACTGGCTTCTTTCATTGGACAGTCGCTCTTTGGCTAGCTCTTACATGTCCATAACTGTGTATTCCAGGTATCGCAGTTAGTTTTTTTAAGACTGATTTTTACTTTGTATATGAGTTTGAGTGTGTATGTGTGTGTGTACCTCATGAGCTTCTGGTGCCCATAGAAACCAGAAGAGGGGGCTGGAGAGATGGCTCAGAGGTTAAGAGCACTGTCTGCTCTTCCAGAGATCATGAGTTCAATTCCCAGCAACCACATGGTGGCTCACAACCATCTATAATGGGATCTGGCGCCCTCTTCTGGCCTGCAGACACACATGCAAACAGAATACTGTAAACATAATAAATAAAATCTTTTTTAAAAAAAAGCAGACTAGAGCATCAGAGCCCCTATGACTGGATTACAAATGGTTGTGAGCCACCTTGTAATGCCGGAGACTGGACCTGGGTCCTCTCGAAGACCTGCAAGTGCTCTTAACTTCTGAGTCATCTCTTCAGCTCTTGTAGTAAGTTTTTAATGTATAATCTCATAACTGAGTGTGAAATTATGCACCTGTAACCCCAGCACTTGGGAGGCAGAGACAGGAGGATTACTGAAAGTTCAAGACAGCTTGGTCTACATATGGAGTCCAGGGCCATCCAAGGCCGCGTGAGGCAATCCTGTCTCAAAAAACAAACAGACAGGGCTGGAGAGATGGCTCAGCGGTTAAGAGCATTGCATGCTCTTCCAAAGGACCCGAGTTCGATTCCCAGCAACCACATGGTGGCTCACAACCATCTGTAATGAGGTCTGGTGTCCTCTTCTAGCAGGCATATATGCAAACAGAATATTGTATCCATAATAAGTATATAAATATTAAAAAAATAAAGACCAAAAGATAACCCACTTATTTCTATAACCATTCTATCTAGTAGGAGTTCAGTATTTTAAATCAACTTTTAAAAGACTTTTAAAGTACAATAAGAGGTAAGGTGGCTCCGTGGGCAAAGGTTCTTGTGGCTAAGCCTTATGCCCTGAGATCAGTCTCCATGACTCACACTGTAGAAGAGGATACACTCCCCCAAGTTGCCCTCTGGCCTCCACAGGCTCCGTGGCACCCCACCCCATGAATATATAAATGTAAGAAAACATTTTTTTTGAAAGAGACCTGAACTTGAAAAATAAACATACCAGCGTCCAGCTTGAGGTATTTTGAAAAGTGTGCCCTGTGCAATCAAATGTTTCTATCATAGGCTTTCGTTTTAGAGATAATAAAATGAAAATAAAAGAATTTAAAAACATTTCCCAAGATTATAAAAGCCATTAAATGACTGGGATCTGAGCCCACTGTTTGATTTTTCTTTCTGCATCATAAGCAGGCAAATGTGTGTGGTGTTAATTATGAATATTATTAGAAGATGAGTCGACTCATTTATCCTTCTGTTCAACAAGACCTGCTAAGCATGGACTTGGCGCTGGGGACGGTCTCCTCTACCTCAAGAAGGTCAGCTTTTATCTTTTAGCTCCCAACGAAACTCTATGATTTCTTTTGTTGCTGTTGCTTGTTTGTTTTGCTTTGTTTCATTTTTCGAGACAGAATCTCTCTATGGAGCCTCAGAACAGGCTGGCTCTGAACTTCTGAGATTGACCTGCCTCTGCCTCCCACGTGCTGAGACTAAAGGCATCCAGCTAAGATTTCTTTCTCTCTCTTTCTCTCTCTCTCTCTCTCTCTGTAAGGTTCTAAGGCAAAAATAATTGTTACTCTGAGGTATAAAGAAGCTGCAGTTTTCACTTTTTGTTTAGTTTAGTTTTATTAATGAAGTAATTTTGTGGCAGGGTTTCTCTCTCAGAGCCCTAGCTCTCCTAGAGCTGGCTCTGTAGACCAGGCTGGATTTGAATTAAAGATCCACCTACCCCTGCCTCCCGGGATCAAAGGTGGTGTGCTCACCACATCTGGCTGTTTTGTTATTTTATATGTGTATGGTTTGTTTGTGTGTCTTGTGGGTGAGTGCGTGTTCCTGCACATGGAATCCAGAGGCCAGTGTTGAGGTGTCTTCTTCTTTCTCTATTGCTCGATACTGTGTTGTGTTTGTTTTGAGACAGGGTCTCACTACGCAGCCCCTCTGACCTAGAACTCAGTAAATAGACCAAGGCTGGCCTCAGACTGATAGAGCCCTCACCTCTGCCTCTCAGTGCTGGGCTCTAAGACATGTGCCACCACAGCTACGTTAGTTTTTGAGACAAGATCTCTCAATTCAGAACTCCCCAATTGGCTAAGCTGACAACTGGCTTGGGGGTCCCCCTTTCTCCACCCTCCTCCCTTCCGCAGTGCCAGGGTTGCAGGTGTGAACCACCACGCACGGTTTACATTTTTCACGTCTTATTGTCTTTGTGTGTGTGTGGTATTGCAGTCAAGCCAATGGCCTTGCACTTGAGAAGCATGTGTTTCTCTTCTGAGCCACATTCCCTGGCCATGCATGGTTTCTTATCCTATTACACTTGTGTGTGTGTCAGAATTGGGGGGCAAGCATGCCGCAGCACCCGTGTGGATGTTCGAAGTCAGCTTTGGTCACTTGGTTCTCTCCTGGCCACCTGAGTTCCAGGGATTGGACTCAGGTTGGCAAACTTGATGGCAAGTGTCTTTTACCGCTGAACCATCTTCCTGGCCCATGCAGTTTTTTGTTTTGGTTTTGGTTTTTTCATAGGGGCAATGACCTACTCAGAGGGCAATTTTAGGGAGATCCCTCTGGTGATGTGGCATGTGGAATGGGATGGTTAACCCTAAGTGGCTTGGGGAGCTGTCTTAGTTGGGGTTTCTGTTGCTGAGAGACGCCATGACACAGCAACTCGTGTAAGGAGCATTGGAGTGGCTGGTTTACAGTTCAGAGGTTCAGTCTATTGTCACCATGGCAGGAAACATGGCGGCGTGCAGGCAGACCCGGTGCTGGCTACAACTTGATCAGAAAGTGGGCTGAGATATGGGCAGTATCTTGAACACAAGCGATGGCAAAACCTGTCTCCATAGTGACACACTTCCTCCAACAAGGCCACCCTTACTCCAACAAAGCCACACCTCCCTATGAGATTATGGGGCCACTTGCATTCAAACTGCCACAGGAGCCCGTTGAGGAGGCTGGTGCCGGACACCTGCAGCAGGGAGTCCCAGATGTTGAGTAAACTGAAGGGAGACTCCACACAGTAAGGAGCCTGTGCGGACTACCGCACAGCAGCGTCACGAAGGTGGAGTTTGCTCTGTTTGGTTTCCTGCTGGATCCCTAGCACTGAGGCTGACAGCCAGCATCCTGTACAAGCTTAGTGAATTAGATGATCCTGGCTGGGAGCAATGTGACTCTCTCTCCCTCTCTCGTGTGTGTCAGTGTGTATGCGTGTCAGCACGTGTGTGTGTCAGTGTGTGTGTATGTGTGTCAGTGCGTAAGTGTGTGTCAGTGTGTATGTGATCAGACAGGGTCTCATGTAGTTCAGTCTGGTCTTAAACTTGCTATATAGTTGAGACTAGCCTTGAACTTGTGATCTTTCTGCCGCCACCTCCCTGAGATGGCAGGCACACAACACCGTGCCCAGCTTTCAGTTCCCCTCACGGTGATGTGAAGCACAGCCGCGTTCCCAGTCTCATCCCAGTTCCTTAGATTCTGTGAGGCCGGCTTTGCATTGGCCATCTTGGCTTAGCTGCAGGTTGCTGTGGCTGTTCTGAGCCCGGCTGAGGTGGGGGTGTCCAGGAGGTATATTCAGTACACCTCCCCTTGCCGTCCTTCACACTCACAGTGCCAGGACACTGGCAGCATTTGAAGCTGAGGAGCACCAGCTTTTTACTAAGATGTTAGGCAGGAGTTGAGGCAGAAGCCTGGGTTCCTGGTGGAAATGAGGAAGAAGGGCCAAGGGGAAGGAAGGGCTTCACCTAGGCTCAGTTTGGAGTGCTTGTGGGCAACTGGCTAGAGTCTGCAGTTCAGAAGGCAGGGAGAGCTGGAGAGTCATGTCAGTGTCCCTAACCACTGACCCTTCCTGCCCAGGACTAGCAGAGGGGTGACTTTCCTTCCCATGGGACCCTCTTCTCCATCTCAGTGACCCTCAGTGACCTTTTCTGCCCAGACTGGCCTGAGAAGTGTGAGTAGACAGGGGGCTAAGAGGATAGACCTCGCGCTGAGGTGGGGAGGGGCCACCTTCACCCCCGTGTCCCTTTTCTTGGCCCCAGAAATGCTACACTCGCCATTGCCCTGTGCTGGCAGCAAGCCCAGCGAAGACACCCCAGATGTCTTTATCAGCTACCGGCGGAGTTCGGGGTCCCAGCTGGCCAGGTGAGGAGGGTGGGCAGGTGGCTGGGGTTTGGGGCGGGGCCACAGTGTTGACCCTGTTTCTTCAGCCTCCTGAAGGTGCACCTGCAGCTGCACGGCTTCAGCGTCTTCATCGACGTGGAGAAGCTGGAAGCCGGCAAGTTCGAGGACAAGCTCATCCAGAGTGTCATGGCAGCTCGAAACTTTGTTCTGGTGCTATCTGCTGGGGCGCTGGACAAATGCATGCAGGACCATGACTGCAAGGACTGGGTGCACAAGGTAGGTGCTGGCTTGGGCCTCTGTGGTGAAACACTGTGTGGGTGGAGGGGGCGAAGCTTTCCCCTCATCCCATGCCCCCGCCACTCTCAATCCCAGATCATCTTTCTGACTCGGCTGAAGTCAGGAGCCACTGCCGAGTCTGGAGTGGGATTTTAGCTACCTAGGCTCTCACAGCCTCAGTTTTCTCTTCTACAAGGTAGGGATGGCTAAACTGTCCTATTTGTGTGTAAGGTTGTACATTGAGACCAGGGAGGGATAAAAATGCATGCAAGATACAACATCTGTGAGCTGCATATGGTAGTGCATCCTATAATCCCAGCATTCGAGAGGCAGAGGCGAGATCACCTCAAGTTCAGGACCAGCCATGTCTAGTTATCTATTTCTGGATAAGCAAGGGCTACCTAGTAAGACCCTCTCTCAAAACCCAAAGTAAACCCCAAAGCAAGACCTTTCACAGGGGTCACCTAAAGTCACCAGAAAACACAGACATTTACATTATGATTCATAACGGTAGCACAAGTCCAGTTATGAAGTAGTAACAGAAATAGTTTTATGGTTGGGGTCACTACAACATGAGGAACTGTACTAGAAGACTGTAGCATTAGGAGGTTGAGCCACTGATCTAAGATATTGTTAAAAGGACTCAAAGGGCTCAATTAGGAAGCCTTCAGCAGAATGCCTGGCACATAATGGCAGCAATTATTATTATTAATTGAATTTTTGTGCCTGCATCTGTTTAATTCCCCATTGTACCTCCAGTGAAAGACTTAGCCCTCACAGAAGGCACAGACCACGGATCCATAGCACACCTATAGATTAACAGTCATGCATCGGTCAGTCGGAATCGGAGCCTGGGCTGAGGGATGCAGTAGCCAGCTGAGGTTTGGTTGCCTCCATGCAGCCGAGGACAAGGATATGGCCACAATGAGCCTGAGCTGTGGCACTGGCCTGTAGACCCAGCCACTCAGGAGGCTGAGGCTGGATGATGGCTTTGAGCCATCCCTTATCCCTTATCCCTTAGAGACAGAACAAGACAATGAGGCTGGAGAAAATGCTGTGTTATCGAGGAGGACCAGAGTTAGTTCCCAGCACTTACAGCCTCCTGCAATTCCATCTGAGAAAAATCTTTTTTTTTTTTTTTTTTTTTTTTTGGTTTTTCAAGACAGGGTTTCTCTGTGGTTTTGGAGCCTGTCCTGGAACTAGCTCTTGTAGACCAGGCTGGTCTCAAACTCACAGAGATCAGCCTGCCTCTGCCTCCCGATTGCTGGGATTAAAGGCGTGCGCCACCACCGCCCGGCGTCATCTGAGGAAATCTTTTGACCTCCCAGGGCACCTGCACTCATGTGCACGCCACACAAGCACACACACATGCCCCTCACATGCTCACACAAGCATGCATATACACATAGACATACACACAAATACACGTAATTTAAAATAAAAAATAGAGCTTGGGGTATTGGCACACGCCTTTAATCCCAGTACTTGGGAGGCAGCAGGCAAATCTCGGGAGTTTGAGCCTGGGCTACATAGCAAGATCCAGGCCAGTTAGGATCAGCTATACAGTGAGACGCTGTCTCAATAAAATAAAATTAAAAATAAAAACAAACAAACACTGTAAAAAATATGCCTACAGTGGCTCATGTAAACACGAAGCCAGGGCTGGAACGATCAGGGGAGGCTTCATGGAGGAAGGAGAAATGTCTTAAGAACA